AAAGATATTAATAATAGTTCCCCAAAAGGAGATTTAGTGTCAGTGAGACCCTCTGATTGACCTCCATTCAAGAAGGGAGAAACCCTGGTCAAATATCAGCTCTCCTTCCACAGAAGTCAGGAAGAGTTTCAAGCAAGAGAGGAATAAAGAGTGAAGCATTCAGAGGATGTGAACTCTGAAAAACATTAATTATTCAGAAGGAGGAACTGACATTGAATAGAAAATGGTTTAAGCCTCTCTGTGTATTCTATGTATTCTATCCTTGAAAGGGCAAATGAATTGTAAGACTCTTATTGAAACATTAATGAAGGGGGATGGTGTCCAAGTACTTTTATGCAAGTTTTGTTTATTTAGAAAACATATTCAAAACTTTCCAACAATCCCCATTTTACTCAGAGCAAAAGCCAAAGTAGACACAAAGGCCTACCGGGGCTGAGATCATTTGGTCCCTGCTGCCTGTGAGGCTCCATCTCCTAGTATTATCCCTCTGACTCACTTGACTTCAAGCACACATGGCCTTCTTTTTCTTGAGTACACTCAACAGCCCTGTCCAGGCCCTTCTTCTCATCCCCTCCCTGGAATGCTCTTCGTAGAGCTGTTTCCTTGGTTCAGTCCTTGTTCCTGAAGTCTTTGCTCAGATCACTGACGCTTACTTGGACCTGCCTTACCATAGCAGCGCGACCCCTCTCCTCGACCACAGTCTGTATTTCTCAAAATGCACCATCATACAACATCCAATGTGATTTCTCATTCATTATGTTTTTCTTTTATGATTTCTTTGTTATATATCTAGTGTGTATTGTCTGACTTTTATGACAAGAGTTTCAGTACATGAAGGTAGGGCTTTTTGCTTTTTAATGTTTTTACTGGTGCATCCAAGTGTTTACAACAGTGCCTAGCAATAAATATTCACTGTGTGATGCATAATAATAGAGATTATATTTTTAAAAAAAGCCTTGCACAGATTTCAAATGAAGGTTTAAGGATTGTATGGTTCAAGTGGCCCTGTTCTGCCCTCGTGTAGGGGCACTGAGTGCCCCCCCATGCTTTGGCACATGGTTCAGAGGCAGCGAGCACCCATCCTCCCCACACACCCCGCGGGGGTCTGTGCTTCCGGCTCTCCTTGCAGCTCTCTCCCCAGGGACACTCATTGAAAGGCGAGTCTTACTTCTCCCAGTTGAGATCCCCTCGGTCTTGGTCTCCTTTCCCATCCCCATTCACATCTGGGCTCCTCATGTCAACACTTTAGACAAAGCTGGACTTTTCCAGTAGTTTCCGCAAGAATTATGGACCCTTTCTCCTGGATAAAGAGCCCCTGTTGCCTTCTCTGCATTTGATAAAATGCCTCAAAAGCAGATAAACAAACGCACACAAAGGACATCTGATATGAGTGCATTTTCATATCAACCCAGTTCTCACCTTCATTTTCTCTTTTAAAAGGCAGGAAACCACTTATTTCCAAGTCACAGTTTTTCCATCCAGTAAACATGGGCTACAGGAGGGGCTTAGATGGAAAGCCCAATCTTCCTCCTAGAACCTGTAATTGAGGCCAAGCATGTGTAAGGTGCTTATCACACAGGCATCTACTAGGTGTGTGGCTCTCCTGTCACACTCAAACACATGGCCACAGAAGAGGGTCCAGGAGGCTTTTAGGGGCCCCACAAAGCTGCTTCCACAGCAGAGCCCCTGGTCTTTGTGTCTCTTAAGTCAGCATTCACAGAGGAGGTTATGATCTGGGGCCAAGCAGGTGGGAGTTTCCCTTTCTTCTGAGGTAAAGAGATAGAGGAAAGGATGCTCCTCATTGTAACCAGATTTCTTTTGAAACTGGGATATTTTCTCTCCACCATGTTGTTCACACATGGGCTCACTGAACTTCTTCTATGGATCCATTTCTGTTTATATTAGAAGGAAGAATGAAAGAAAATGAGTTTTTCTTCTCCCTGGGGCACCTCAGAGGGTAGTTACTAACTAGAATGATAATCTGAGTTGATATGGAAGAGTTTTCCTATGTGTCCACTATTTTGGGAATGAACAACTTTATAGAAACTCATTCACATTTAAAATATTTCCTTTGACATCGTGACTGCATATGTGGGAGTCTACCTTAAGTTCACACACACACACATACACACACATGTGAATTTGCAAGTATTTTTCTATTAGTTTTCCTATTTCAGTGCCCTGCAACTCATATAAAAGTCAACATAAAGAAGAGAGATGACTTTCCTAAGCAGCCCCTACCAAATACAAGCATGCTCCAGTGGGTAGGAATATTTTAAATGCCCCTGGCCTTACAAGAATAAGAAATCATCTGAGATGCATAGCATAGTTTATGATTGTAAGAGTGCTTGCTTCTCAGTGAGTGAGGAGGAAAGAGATATACACATTAAAGCAGGTATAATTTATTAGAATGATAGAAATAGAAATAGGATACTGGTAGAGAAAAGCACCGAAAGAGAGAAAAATTCATCAACCAAAAAGACATCAGGAAAGAAAAAAAAAGTAAAATGTAGCAAATGTAAATTCCAAAATAAAATAGCAATAATAAACCCTAATGTATCAGCAACTATAATTAATATTTTGGGGCTTAATTCTCCTCACAGAAGAAAAAGACTGGGTTTTTAAAAATTCAGCTTTTCACTGATCACAAGTGATATACTTAGTAAAAGAAGAATAGAAGGTGAGAAGATGAAGGGATTTAAAAAAGATGCATTTGTTAAATATAAGTAAATTGATAGTGATGAAATACTCCAGCATTTAATTTAAACTATGTATATATATAGTGTTAACTAAAATATAATGCAAAACAAATTTATTTTATTTATATATGTATTTTTGGTTCATGTATTTAGTTTTTGTTTATATAAGCATAAGCTTTGTGGGTATGTAGTAACTATAAAACCGTGAGTGGGAAAGATACAGAACAAATCCACGATGATAGTGACAGTCTCTTAGGAGGGAGGGTTGAGTAATCAATAAAGATTATTTCAACCCTATCTGATAACTTATTTGACAAAATGATAACATCTGGTAATTATAGCAGGTGGGTAAATGGATATATACAAGATATTCTGAGTGAATTTCTGTTTTAAATTTATCTAAATAAAATAAGCTGATGAAACAAAAATTCTTGAACTCCATGGTAAGGTGGGCGCAGCTCTGTCCCTCCACACCCAGAGAGGCTGTAACCCCAACTCAGGAACCAGTAGAAGGCAGAGCGAACTAGTTATTCAAGAAACTCCCACATATCCTGCAAAACGCGTCTCTGAAATCACTTCTTAGAATTCTTTTGGTCTCTGTCTCAGTTTCCTGTGAAATGGCCAGCACCCGGTGCAGCTGGCTCGGGCAAAGCAAGCCTAAGGTGGAAGAAGAACATGACTGTCTGCATAGCTGAGCAGCTGAGGCTCCGGCGGGGAATCTGGCTTCAGATGAAGCTGCGTTCAGGGGTGAAAAAGGCCGAAGGACTACTTCTTTCTTCCTCTTGGCTTTAGCTTTTGCTTTGTTGACTTGGTTTCTAAATATGTTGGCTGCGGCCCAGGTGTCTGAGGTCAGCTGACATTCTCTGTGCTCCCAATCATTCACAGTGAGAAACGGGGCGTCTGTATCACATACCAGACAAGTTTCCGTGGCAGCAAACTGGCCAGCGGGGAAGGGGACGTGAAGGCCCATCTCCCTGGTCTCAGGGACAATCCTGCAGCCTGAGGAACAGGCTGCAGCTTCCACTCTCAGGGCCCTGCCTGAGCCAGTCCTTCCTGTCCTGCTTTTCCTGCTCTATTACTGATCTCCCATCATAAATCAAAGTTAATTTACACACAAGCCAGCTCAGGGCGGCTTCTGGGCCACTGCACTCAGTGGCGTATGGATGTTTATGCAGTAATGAGGCCTCGTTGCTGGAGCAGGAGTGAGCGAGGTCAGGCAGTCGGAACCCCATACACACAGCATCCCTGGGGTTCTCTCCTGCAGAGCATGGAGTCTGGTTTCAGCAGAGTTACTGTAGTATTTTAGCGAGCCTTGAACCTGGGCAGTGTGAATCTTTCATCGTTGCTTGTATTTAGTATTATTTTAGCTCTTTGGTGGCCTACCCTTTCCATAACATTTGTATATAAGAAAACCACTCACGTTTGTAAACTGACTTTGAATCTTGGCATCCAACTTGATTCGGGTGTTAATTCTAGCGTATTTTTTGCAGATTCTTTGTGATCATCTGTATAGGCACTCATCATCTGAGGATAAAAACGTTATTTTTCCTATTCAAATCAACATGTTTACTTATTTTTCTGTCTTTATTTTATTGACTAGGACTTTATTGTGTTGACTAGGTAAATCTCAACCCTTGACATAGTTTAAAAGGCCCAGCCTAGGTTTTCAATTTCACTCTGAGCTCCAGCTCTCTCTTAATCCATGAATCTCTCAATCCTCAAAAGTTCCAGGTTCATCTGTCCTTAAAGTGTCTTTCTTTCGTTTCTTCTCCCTAAAACCCCTTTCATTCCCCTCAACTTTGTCAGCTAGTTACCCACGACTCAGCCTCAGGTCTTAGCTTTCTCAGGGGTCATGCCCTGCGTTTCCCGCTCCGGGACTGACCTTCTCCTATTGCCGCGCAGTTCCTATGTCCACAGCACTTGCTGGAATTGTAATCTACCCATTTACTCATTAGACTATTTTCATTTGGCAGAGACCGCATCTGTTTGACTTACTCCTGCATTCCTCACACCTAACAGAGCGGGAAGCTACAAAGTAGGTGTTCTTAAATGTTTCTTGAGTAGTTGAATGAATAATACTTAAGTTAATAATACACACATAAACTGATTACTATAGTCATTCATTAAATCCTGGGATATAAAAATGTTTCTTTTTCTTTCTAAATTTACGTGTCGGGAATATGAGGTTAACAAAAGCCAGCTACAGCAACCAAAATAATCATTCTCATTATCAGCAGCAGCGAATCTTATCAATTACTGTTTGTCGAGCGGTTTCTATATAATAATAATCATAGGTGCTTAACAAACACTTTATTATTTATTAATTATAACCATTCATATTTACTACATAATCCTCTGTCATTAAACATAACAAAGATGTCCACATGTTAGGAATTCTGAGGTGATTCTTTGACTTTCATAAGTGAAGTAAGATCCACTTTGCTATGAGATGCAGTCATTTCAGTATGAACATGCAGCTTAATGCAGCCATAGCCAGTTACAGTAAAAGGCAGTTCTTCCATATTCGACAATTACTTATTGTTGGCCTGTTAGATGCTGATAATTATAAATGCTACAAATGAAAAAAGAAAATAATTCCTCTTTTCCTATTTGAAGAGGTGTACCAGTGAATGTCAATGATTCTAAGGTAAATCAAACAGTTACAAATAAAGAACCATGTAGGTACAGTGTCCAGGGCTTGGGAGAGAGAAAAACTAGTCCTGAAATCTTTTATGAGGGGATGGGATTCAGGTAGAACCTTAATTGACTGTGAAAGGAAAATATTTGCTAAGCATATTGTAAAAAAAAGAATTCAAAAAATGATGTCAAGTTTTGCAAGCTCCTTTTTCCTCCTTTAATAATTAAATAATATGAATTAAAGCTTCTCTTGTGATGGAAAGAGGTGATAACGCACCCTTCATGAATTTTTCTTACCTAGATTACTGCTCATTATATTAATAACAACCAAATATTTCCTTTATAGTTCCCAGAGAATGCAGGCAAAGAAAGATGTTTTTACTAATTTTGAAATACTTTCCCTCTATTCCTATCTTTATTTTTTTATATACTTTAAATGTTACAATTTCACCATTGGATGGCAATATTGCTTATTATTTTCCCTTCAGTATTCTGATAAGCATTTACCTAGTGAGAAAAAAAATAACAGTTGCCTTAGAATTAAGATTCATTATTCAATTTTTAAAATTTCTTTGGGTTATTTTATGTCATGACCGCATATCACAATAAAAACAGTTATAAATAAAGAACCTTGTAGGTACAGTGTCCAATGAAAATGTATGCAATATGATGCTCATTACCAGACTGTTGATGCAATTTCAAGAAGGCAATAGGTTCAACCTTCTTTCTGGATGGAAGAGGAGGTATAATCTGTTCCTGAGCTGGATTCTTAATTTGCTGTTATGGCTGAGTTACTTGTGCCTTAGTCCTCCCAGGGGCAAAGGCCCCACAATAAAGGACCATATGAAAAGATGGTCAATGATCATTTGCTATGAATCCTTAGAATCTCAATTCCCTGAAAAGCACCTATGCTCACCGGTATTGTTAAAATGGTTTGAATTAGTAGACATAAATTTCAAAGAAAAAAGTTACAATGTGTTATTTCAATAGCTACAATTCATGTTTGACTGGCGGATTGCCCATCTGGCCCTCAAAATAGTCCAGCTCTAGTTAACTGTGGAAATGCTAAACAAAGGAAAAGGCATTTTTCACAGGATATTATAGCTGCCTATGATTCATAAGAGAGGGAAGACTAAGAATTGTTATGAAATATCATCCAATTCATTTAATACTAAGAGGACAATTTTCAATCAATTCAACAAAAATTTATATTTCAAGTGGAGTAGAATACAGAGCTATGATCTTGACTCAGCACATGACAATAAACACATTCCTACTGTACAATTCCATGTATGGATTATTGTTATTCATAATTAGAATTAAATTAATAAATGAAGATAATTGAGTTTCATTGTAACTCCCAGTTCCAGATTACTTACAGACTGTATACAGATGTTTGTCTCTCTAAGGATTGTTTTATTCAAAATAGTATCTATTGCTCATCTTAATTTACTAACATAGTCATAGTCATGCATGTTCAATATATCTAATACTTCTAAACAAATTGGGTAAGTTCATATAAATTATCTTTTTAGATTGAACATTGAAACTAAGATCACTTTTTAAGGTGATAAGTCACCTGATCTTCTGATATGTACATAGTTTTGTTTTACTTGGAAACAGTTTTTCATAGAGTTGAGTGGCATATTTTAATGAATATAAGATTAGCTTATTATTCATCCCTCTCTGCTTAGTAAAATTCAAATACATGTCATGGTTTATATAGAAATGCCATTTCACTCCAAATCAGGCAAGTCCAATCTAGGACTCACTCAGTCTCTTACCATTGAATTCCAAAGTCCACCTGCTTGACCATCACAGTAATATTAACAGGTATCCGTTGAAAATGTCTGATGCAATGTTACATAAAAATTCTCCATTTTTCTAATATCTGATATAGGAACTTACTATTTATTATTCATAAATTCTTTTTAAAGTCTACTTGTACATGGTAGCACTAGATCTGTTTCTAGGAAATATTTACATGGAATCAAGTTGCTCTATAATCCTTACACACTTTGGAGTATTAACACCCCAAATACATGGTGAATATTCAGGAGAAATGAGAATCCATATTGTTTCAATGGAAATATTCATGTTCTGAAATTTGTTTGTAGGTAGTAAAATATCTTAAGTTGAGCCAATTTTCCAGGGTTCAGTTTGCCCAAAATTAGAGATGATCATGTTTTGTAAATAGTTTTTCATTTGTTACATTTTAGGAATGCAGTCTTCAGGTTTCTATATAAAATCATGGAGTTTTATAAGTTTGCAACTTCTTGCACTGACAATTCATGAGGGATCAGCCCTAAATTCACCACTGCCTCCATGTTAGCACCCAATTCTTCCTCTTGAAATACACTCTTTTTCTTCTTCTTTTAAAATAATGAAGTTGAATAAGACAGTATTTCTTAAATCCTCTGATAATGCACTATCTCCTCATACTTTCATATGAATATTCTATTTTCTATTTTGGTGAGTAATATACTTATCCCTTAGTAAAAATAGTAAGATTCTAAATATGAAAACTTAGTCCTTTTCAGATAGATAACTTTGCTATTCTGCTACAACTATAGGCAGATTTCCATAAAATCCATGACTCATGCAATAATTACTAATAAAAAATGTCAGAAATTTTACAAACTTCATGTCCTTCAGCAAGTGGTATTTTTCAGGGGTAAATAAAATGAGGACAGTGAACTTTGTAAGTGAAGTATTCACTTTTTTAAGAAAAACTAATTCTTCCAGGACATCATTTGATAAATGGCACTGGTGTTACTTATATCCTATTTTCATGTCCATGACCTGAAAGTGATAATCGAAACAGCATGAGTAGCCTATTCTTGTGAGTGGGAAGAATAATTAGATTTGTAAGCATAGATCAGTGTAGTCTTCTGAACTGAAAGAGATTCTCAGGAAAATAATTATCAGATACATTACCATGGTAAAGCCATTTGCAAAGTTTCTACTTGAGCTCTGTGACTTGCGGTGACCTGGAATGTTGCCCTGTTCTTTTTTAGTCGTGGTGACCTTGCTGGCACCATACTCCCTGTGCCTCATGTCCATGAAACGTACCAGCTGATTATCTAGTGTCAAGGATAATGAAAGAGGATTTTGAGAGTTACTATTAATGGATCAGGAAACTATCTGCAAACACAAACACTTCATTTAAAACTTTATATTAATTATTAAAAACCAACAGTATTGTTATGGTAATAACATACACAGAATCAAATGACTTTGTAGGATTAATTTCTTGAATAAAAAAATAAATGAATAAAAAGAGATGGCAGGGCTTTTTGAAATGCTTAAACTTTCCAAAACTAAATAAAACCTTTTTTACCTGCTTGATGATTAAGTCTAAATAAACCAACTTACAGCATTGACTGAATGTCTTCATTTAGAAATCTTTCACATTTAGTTGCTGAACTTTACCACAGAAATTTCAGGCGAAGGGAATTATACAGTGTGTTTAAATTTAAAGCCACATAGGGAAGTACTTAAGGGCAATAATAACCAGGGCCTCTAAACAAAGATATACAAAATAGACTCTGTATCTTATTTAAACAAAAGAAGTTAAAAAGATAAAAGCAGTGAATGCGGCTTTAGTTAAGGAACTACAGTATTAATAAAACATCTGTTTCCAGATGCATATCACTCACACAATTATGTGTGGCAAGATTGTGCTGTGACGTTTTCTAGGGATACATTTCAAATTTGATACAGATACATATAAATAGGTTGCATGCAATGTTTCATACATTGTGCTAAAGGTTAGTTTTGGTCTGATAGCTCTCATCCTATGATACATTTCAAGAATTTCCCTTCAGCTCTCAAGTTAAGTTTGCCAGCTTTGGTCCAGTGTTCAGAGAAGAGAAGGCATAAGATAGAGAGGATAAGGAGGAGGAAAAGGTCATAAAGACAGAGCAAGATAATAGTAAGGGATACGGTTATTAGGGTCTAGAGAAGCAGCATATCAGAACGCTTAAGAAGTTATCTTAGCAACCAGATAGTTATGGACTTAGACCTTGACTTCACAATTTGTAGGAAGTAGGACTTGGGTGAAGTATTTAAGTTCCATCTTCATTTTTAATTTAGAATAATATATCAATGTTTCTTAACCCTTAATTTGATGTAATAAAATAAAATTTCATCTTTACTAGGATAATAGTGGTGATTGCATATGTAGAGTATTTTGGGTAGTCTCCATACGTACTTGATGAACTTGAATGATTATTAGTATTCCTCAAAGTTCTTTAACAATCTTTCCTTAGCACATCTCCATTCCCGCTTTGTATTTTTTTCCTATCCCATACATTATGATCCAATGATTCTGCACAATGGGGAGATACATGTTCTATTTGCTATGTTATGTTTCTCTCTCTCTGTATCTGTTTCTATATCTATGTCTGTCTCTGCTGCTTCTGTCCCTAAAATTACTTTCCTCCTACTTTCACACACTGAAATCTACAGATAGTTCAGGACACTGTGTTTTCATGTTTGTATGTCTTCATGTGCCAGGTGTTCTGTGGACATACAAGTTCTCGATCACGTATCCTTCGCTCTCTGTGGAGAAGGTGCAGAGAAAACAATGGAGAGGGTCAGGGGACAGCTTTGGGCTACGTTAGGAGAGATATGTCACATTCCAGGCTATACAGGAAGTTCACCAAATGAATAAAAACACAATACTAAGCCCACAAATACATGTCAGCATACAGATGGAACTAGACAAAAATGTTCTTACCTCTGAGAAGTAATGTGGAGATATTTACATATTTTCAAAATATACGTAAGTATTGAATAACTTCACAATTTGGATACATTAATAAAATTTAATATGTGAGACATACTTTTTTGCTCCATAAAGACTAGCATATAAATAAAAGTAAGAAAAAGAGATTTTTTTAAAATTCTCCTTTCAATATTTGTAAAATATCTCTTTTCCATACTCAGGTTGATAAGACTTACTGAACCACATTTCTTGAATTAACAGATAACTGTTTCTCTGGAGCTTTAAAGATTCTAATGACTATTTTATAAATGATTTGAATGCTTATGTAATTTAGTAGCATTTCACCAAATGATTCCTCTGTACTTTCACAGAGAATTTAAAGAAGGCAGATAAAAGCAGTTTTACATGATTCTGCTCATTTTCCAAAACCAAGTTTGTTTAGTTTCATGATTATATCTTGCACTTTTACTCCCTGGATGAATAAACATTCAATAAATTCTTGGGTAATGGAGCAAACCAAATATATAAATTTGTGAATAAACAGCTATTTTTTTGAAAATTTGACACAAACAAGTATTTACATTTTTATGCATATAAGTGCTATTTACATGCAAACATTTTTTGCATTTAATCAAAATACCTTATGAAAAATGAGACTTATTTTCAGTTATGATGGTGGCTAGCAGCTACTAGTTGGATATAAGAGACTCTTTGAAGGTGCATTTTCATGTTTGAATATTTAGAGGAAGCACATTAGCTTATAAAACAGAGTATTACATATAGACTACAGTAGTGTGTTTATTATACTTACTAACTTCGCAGCAAACACTGTCATCTGTTGATTTGTTTAGCAGTTTGTGACATACTTCTTTTCATCCACCTCAAAGTCTTAAGTAGAGTTAAGAGATTCAAAAGTGTCCTGAAAGTCATCACTTTGCTTTACCAAACCTATTGTGGTATACACAAATGTTTGTTTTTTAGTCCAAATTCATATTTTTTTCTTTAGATCATATTAATTCCATTTAAATCATACCTTAGCTAATATGGTAGGCATGTAGGTATTGAGGCATGGATAAAAGAAACTGTCAGAATTTAGAATGTTTTCTCTTTTACCCAAAAGAAAGAAAAAAATCTAATTCAAAAAAAGAATGTGACAGGATTTTAAGATATGCTAAGTACAAATGATAAATGTCCATGTTAATTATAATTAGCTTTACCTTTTTTTATTGGGATAATACTGATCCACCATCTGTAGATGGTAACTTTTTTTCCTATCAGGGATTAAATTGTGCACAAACGTGTTTACTGTCTCCCCCTGGCATCTTCTTAACATTTGTAATTTGGTCTTGAGTACAATCTGTGAAATAGAGAAAAGCAGGTAGTTCACAAAGCTATCTCATTTTTTCAAAACTTAACCAAACATAAAACCTACATCTGAATCAATGTATTTGAGTTGTCTTCCCTGAGCTTACATTCAGGCGGCTTTGCACTGCTGGAGAGAATCAAAGCAGAAATAGTGCAGACCAGCGTCACTAAAAATGCATGGTCCACAATCTCAACTAATTCTGTGATCCTTGGCATTTTATCAGAAATCCGTATTTTCCAAATCTTCCTGTGAATACAGATAAAGTTAGAGAATTTCAACGTCATGACTTGCCCTCATCTTCAAACAAAGGATTTTCAGTTTCCTGTGGTGTTCCTCCCCTAGTTGTCTCATGGATCCCGCAGGTCTGTCCTACCCCTTCCCATTAACAAACCCAGTCTTGGTCTGCGCCCAGTCAGGATCTGTTGGATTCCTGCTCTGGCTGAGGATTCGGAGGCTCAACATGCTGAAGCTTCTTGAAGTACTGCTCATGGATAAGGATTCCTCTCGGTTCTCGTGTTACATACTTCGGGAGAGAGCAAATCTGTGATACTTGCATCCAAACATCTTCAAGCCACCTTAAAGGAAGCTAAGGTTCCCATTTGTATGTATATATTCTTTTCCTGAACTTGGCAAACATGCTGACCTGCTTCCTTACCTTTAAAATTCCTGTAACTGAACTATCATTGAATTAATGTGACAGTTAATTGGGATGGTTTGTACAAAGCACTTAGTTCCCTATTCTAGGCACATGTAAAAGACTAAAAAAAAGGTAGATATCATCAAAATCATCATTATCATCATGATTATCCAATTTCCCCTACCAGAGAGTCATTGTTGATGCCAGGAAAATACCTAAAATCTTTAAAATAGCATATAATACCTTTCGTGATTTGGCACCTCTCTTTTGCCATTTAATTCTCCATCCGTGCCATTTATGTGTTCTACACACCCCTGCTTATCTCACCTGCCTCTGGGCCATTGCCCATGATGTAGCACATATTCTTACGGTAAAACCTCTCTCTGCACTGTTTCCCTTTCATAAGGCAGAGACTATCTTGAACATAGGGGAGTTCAGATGCTATTAAGCCAAAATTAAAAACAAGGGTCCACTACAGTATTCTTTGTAGAAACTTATCCATATAATTAGGTTTTAATGTTTTTGGCATTTATATATTTTCATAATATTCTTGCATTATTTTTGTGATACTGTGTCTATAATTGTATCTCCTCTTCATACTGCATTTTTCCACTTTCTTCACTTCCCCCCAACTCCTGCCTTAATCTGTCTTGTCAGATTTTTTCTAACATACCAGTCTTTTCATAAAACCAACTACAGGTTTTTCGTCCTTTTCATTGAGGCTTATTTTCCACTTTACTGATTTCTATTCATATTTCATTAATTCCTTGATTCTTTTTTATATGGTTTTTCAATAATAAAGAAGATAGAAAAATAACTTGTTAACTAACTCACTGCTTTTTTAGAATAATGCCTGACAACACAGCAGGCTCCCAAACAATACTGTGATATCATCCACGATATCTAACTAACACATGAAGGTATAACTTAAGTATTAGCTTCCTTGTGAAGTTTTATTATTATCACTACCCATTCAAAACTGGGTCCTGTACCCATTTTATACCTGTTAAGCACAGTCTGTCTTATTGGAAACATCTTATGATTTATTTGCCCAATAGACACTAAGAAACTAGAAGAAGATAGATATATTGTGTCTCCTTCAACATTTTTGTCTCCTCCCCTAGCACAATACCCAGCACTTAAAAGAAGTTTAATAAATGATTGTTGGATAAAGATATAAATTTTCATGAATTCAGAATGCAAAGTGGATCTCTTTAAACTATAATTTTAGGGTTATCAAATTTCCTGATTACCAGAATAGTGTTGGGAAATCCTTCACACATGTAGGATAAAATATGTGAATGATAATAAAAAACATTTTCTAAGAAAATGTGCATGTTCTTATTTATGTGATCCTCAAAAAGGCATGGAGCATGCCCTATAATCAGCTCTCACCCAATATTTTTCTGATAACTTCAATAATGTTGTTTATAGCATTATCAGGAGTTACAGTTTACCTTGACTTATTATCTAATACAAAACAAACCATATTCTTTTTACAAATGTCCGATCAGGAAGCAATGACTTTTAGTGATTTTATGTTTATATTATCCACAACTTTCAAAATTCATATTAATCATGTTGCCATTTCAACTTTTGTAAGAGCCCTCTTTTCTTCTTCATCTTTTTTTAATATAGCCTATTATTACAGAAAATATTCAGGAGAAATGAGAATCCATATTGTTTCAATGGAAATATTCATGTTCTGAAATTTGTTTGTAGGTAGTAAAATATCTTAAGTTGAGCCAATTTTCCAGGGTTCAGTTTGCCCAAAATTAGAGATGATCATGTTTTGTAAATAGTTTTTCATTTGTTACATTTTAGGAATGCAGTCTTCAGGTTTCTATATAAAATCATGGAGTTTTATAAGTTTGCAACTTCTTGCACTGACAATTCATGAGGGATCAGCCCTAAATTCACCACTGCCTCCATGTTAGCACCCAATTCTTCCTCTTGAAATACACTCTTTTTCTTCTTCTTTTAAAATAATGAAGTTGAATAAGACAGTATTTCTTAAATCCTCTGATAATGCACTATCTCCTCATACTTTCATATGAATATTCTATTTTCTATTTTGGTGAGTAATATACTTATCCCTTAGTAAAAATAGTAAGATTCTAAATATGAAAACTTAGTCCTTTTCAGATAGATAACTTTGCTATTCTGCTACAACTATAGGCAGATTTCCATAAAATCCATGACTCATGCAATAATTACTAATAAAAAATGTCAGAAATTTTACAAACTTCATGTCCTTCAGCAAGTGGTATTTTTCAGGGGTAAATAAAATGAGGACAGTGAACTTTGTAAGTGAAGTATTCACTTTTTTAAGAAAAACTAATTCTTCCAGGACATCATTTGATAAATGGCACTGGTGTTACTTATATCCTATTTTCATGTCCATGACCTGAAAGTGATAATCGAAACAGCATGAGTAGCCTATTCTTGTGAGTGGGAAGAATAATTAGATTTGTAAGCATAGATCAGTGTAGTCTTCTGAACTGAAAGAGATTCTCAGGAAAATAATTATCAGATACATTACCATGGTAAAGCCATTTGCAAAGTTTCTACTTGAGCTCTGTGACTTGCGGTGACCTGGAATGTTGCCCTGTTCTTTTTTAGTCGTGGTGACCTTGCTGGCACCATACTCCCTGTGCCTCATGTCCATGAAACGTACCAGCTGATTATCTAGTGTCAAGGATAATGAAAGAGGATTTTGAGAGTTACTATTAATGGATCAGGAAACTATCTGCAAACACAAACACTTCATTTAAAACTTTATATTAATTATTAAAAACCAACAGTATTGTTATGGTAATAACATACACAGAATCAAATGACTTTGTAGGATTAATTTCTTGAATAAAAAAATAAATGAATAAAAAGAGATGGCAGGGCTTTTTGAAATGCTTAAACTTTCCAAAACTAAATAAAACCTTTTTTACCTGCTTGATGATTAAGTCTAAATAAACCAACTTACAGCATTGACTGAATGTCTTCATTTAGAAATCTTTCACATTTAGTTGCTGAACTTTACCACAGAAATTTCAGGCGAAGGGAATTATACAGTGTGTTTAAATTTAAAGCCACATAGGGAAGTACTTAAGGGCAATAATAACCAGGGCCTCTAAACAAAGATATACAAAATAGACTCTGTATCTTATTTAAACAAAAGAAGTTAAAAAGATAAAAGCAGTGAATGCGGCTTTAGTTAAGGAACTACAGTATTAATAAAACATCTGTTTCCAGATGCATATCACTCACACAATTATGTGTGGCAAGATTGTGCTGTGACGTTTTCTAGGGATACATTTCAAATTTGATACAGATACATATAAATAGGTTGCATGCAATGTTTCATACATTGTGCTAAAGGTTAGTTTTGGTCTGATAGCTCTCATCCTATGATACATTTCAAGAATTTCCCTTCAGCTCTCAAGTTAAGTTTGCCAGCTTTGGTCCAGTGTTCAGAGAAGAGAAGGCATAAGATAGAGAGGATAAGGAGGAGGAAAAGGTCATAAAGACAGAGCAAGATAATAGTAAGGGATACGGTTATTAGGGTCTAGAGAAGCAGCATATCAGAACGCTTAAGAAGTTATCTTAGCAACCAGATAGTTATGGACTTAGACCTTGACTTCACAATTTGTAGGAAGTAGGACTTGGGTGAAGTATTTAAGTTCCATCTTCATTTTTAATTTAGAATAATATATCAATGTTTCTTAACCCTTAATTTGATGTAATAAAATAAAATTTCATCTTTACTAGGATAATAGTGGTGATTGCATATGTAGAGTATTTTGGGTAGTCTCCATACGTACTTGATGAACTTGAATGATTATTAGTATTCCTCAAAGTTCTTTAACAATCTTTCCTTAGCACATCTCCATTCCCGCTTTGTATTTTTTTCCTATCCCATACATTATGATCCAATGATTCTGCACAATGGGGAGATACATGTTCTATTTGCTATGTTATGTTTCTCTCTCTCTGTATCTGTTTCTATATCTATGTCTGTCTCTGCTGCTTCTGTCCCTAAAATTACTTTCCTCCTACTTTCACACACTGAAATCTACAGATAGTTCAGGACACTGTGTTTTCATGTTTGTATGTCTTCATGTGCCAGGTGTTCTGTGGACATACAAGTTCTCGATCACGTATCCTTCGCTCTCTGTGGAGAAGGTGCAGAGAAAACAATGGAGAGGGTCAGGGGACAGCTTTGGGCTACGTTAGGAGAGATATGTCACATTCCAGGCTATACAGGAAGTTCACCAAATGAATAAAAACACAATACTAAGCCCACAAATACATGTCAGCATACAGATGGAACTAGACAAAAATGTTCTTACCTCTGAGAAGTAATGTGGAGATATTTACATATTTTCAAAATATACGTAAGTATTGAATAACTTCACAATTTGGATACATTAATAAAATTTAATATGTGAGACATACTTTTTTGCTCCATAAAGACTAGCATATAAATAAAAGTAAGAAAAAGAGATTTTTTTAAAATTCTCCTTTCAATATTTGTAAAATATCTCTTTTCCATACTCAGGTTGATAAGACTTACTGAACCACATTTCTTGAATTAACAGATAACTGTTTCTCTGGAGCTTTAAAGATTCTAATGACTATTTTATAAATGATTTGAATGCTTATGTAATTTAGTAGCATTTCACCAAATGATTCCTCTGTACTTTCACAGAGAATTTAAAGAAGGCAGATAAAAGCAGTTTTACATGATTCTGCTCATTTTCCAAAACCAAGTTTGTTTAGTTTCATGATTATATCTTGCACTTTTACTCCCTGGATGAATAAACATTCAATAAATTCTTGGGTAATGGAGCAAACCAAATATATAAATTTGTGAATAAACAGCTATTTTTTTGAAAATTTGACACAAACAAGTATTTACATTTTTATGCATATAAGTGCTATTTACATGCAAACATTTTTTGCATTTAATCAAAATACCTTATGAAAAATGAGACTTATTTTCAGTTATGATGGTGGCTAGCAGCTACTAGTTGGATATAAGAGACTCTTTGAAGGTGCATTTTCATGTTTGAATATTTAGAGGAAGCACATTAGCTTATAAAACAGAGTATTACATATAGACTACAGTAGTGTGTTTATTATACTTACTAACTTCGCAGCAAACACTGTCATCTGTTGATTTGTTTAGCAGTTTGTGACATACTTCTTTTCATCCACCTCAAAGTCTTAAGTAGAGTTAAGAGATTCAAAAGTGTCCTGAAAGTCATCACTTTGCTTTACCAAACCTATTGTGGTATACACAAATGTTTGTTTTTTAGTCCAAATTCATATTTTTTTCTTTAGATCATATTAATTCCATTTAAATCATACCTTAGCTAATATGGTAGGCATGTAGGTATTGAGGCATGGATAAAAGAAACTGTCAGAATTTAGAATGTTTTCTCTTTTACCCAAAAGAAAGAAAAAAATCTAATTCAAAAAAAGAATGTGACAGGATTTTAAGATATGCTAAGTACAAATGATAAATGTCCATGTTAATTATAATTAGCTTTACCTTTTTTTATTGGGATAATACTGATCCACCATCTGTAGATGGTAACTTTTTTTCCTATCAGGGATTAAATTGTGCACAAACGTGTTTACTGTCTCCCCCTGGCATCTTCTTAACATTTGTAATTTGGTCTTGAGTACAATCTGTGAAATAGAGAAAAGCAGGTAGTTCACAAAGCTATCTCATTTTTTCAAAACTTAACCAAACATAAAACCTACATCTGAATCAATGTATTTGAGTTGTCTTCCCTGAGCTTACATTCAGGCGGCTTTGCACTGCTGGAGAGAATCAAAGCAGAAATAGTGCAGACCAGCGTCACTAAAAATGCATGGTCCACAATCTCAACTAATTCTGTGATCCTTGGCATTTTATCAGAAATCCGTATTTTCCAAATCTTCCTGTGAATACAGATAAAGTTAGAGAATTTCAACGTCATGACTTGCCCTCATCTTCAAACAAAGGATTTTCAGTTTCCTGTGGTGTTCCTCCCCTAGTTGTCTCATGGATCCCGCAGGTCTGTCCTACCCCTTCCCATTAACAAACCCAGTCTTGGTCTGCGCCCAGTCAGGATCTGTTGGATTCCTGCTCTGGCTGAGGATTCGGAGGCTCAACATGCTGAAGCTTCTTGAAGTACTGCTCATGGATAAGGATTCCTCTCGGTTCTCGTGTTACATACTTCGGGAGAGAGCAAATCTGTGATACTTGCATCCAAACATCTTCAAGCCACCTTAAAGGAAGCTAAGGTTCCCATTTGTATGTATATATTCTTTTCCTGAACTTGGCAAACATGCTGACCTGCTTCCTTACCTTTAAAATTCCTGTAACTGAACTATCATTGAATTAATGTGACAGTTAATTGGGATGGTTTGTACAAAGCACTTAGTTCCCTATTCTAGGCACATGTAAAAGACTAAAAAAAAGGTAGATATCATCAAAATCATCATTATCATCATGATTATCCAATTTCCCCTACCAGAGAGTCATTGTTGATGCCAGGAAAATACCTAAAATCTTTAAAATAGCATATAATACCTTTCGTGATTTGGCACCTCTCTTTTGCCATTTAATTCTCCATCCGTGCCATTTATGTGTTCTACACACCCCTGCTTATCTCACCTGCCTCTGGGCCATTGCCCATGATGTAGCACATATTCTTACGGTAAAACCTCTCTCTGCACTGTTTCCCTTTCATAAGGCAGAGACTATCTTGAACATAGGGGAGTTCAGATGCTATTAAGCCAAAATTAAAAACAAGGGTCCACTACAGTATTCTTTGTAGAAACTTATCCATATAATTAGGTTTTAATGTTTTTGGCATTTATATATTTTCATAATATTCTTGCATTATTTTTGTGATACTGTGTCTATAATTGTATCTCCTCTTCATACTGCATTTTTCCACTTTCTTCACTTCCCCCCAACTCCTGCCTTAATCTGTCTTGTCAGATTTTTTCTAACATACCAGTCTTTTCATAAAACCAACTACAGGTTTTTCGTCCTTTTCATTGAGGCTTATTTTCCACTTTACTGATTTCTATTCATATTTCATTAATTCCTTGATTCTTTTTTATATGGTTTTTCAATAATAAAGAAGATAGAAAAATAACTTGTTAACTAACTCACTGCTTTTTTAGAATAATGCCTGACAACACAGCAGGCTCCCAAACAATACTGTGATATCATCCACGATATCTAACTAACACATGAAGGTATAACTTAAGTATTAGCTTCCTTGTGAAGTTTTATTATTATCACTACCCATTCAAAACTGGGTCCTGTACCCATTTTATACCTGTTAAGCACAGTCTGTCTTATTGGAAACATCTTATGATTTATTTGCCCAATAGACACTAAGAAACTAGAAGAAGATAGATATATTGTGTCTCCTTCAACATTTTTGTCTCCTCCCCTAGCACAATACCCAGCACTTAAAAGAAGTTTAATAAATGATTGTTGGATAAAGATATAAATTTTCATGAATTCAGAATGCAAAGTGGATCTCTTTAAACTATAATTTTAGGGTTATCAAATTTCCTGATTACCAGAATAGTGTTGGGAAATCCTTCACACATGTAGGATAAAATATGTGAATGATAATAAAAAACATTTTCTAAGAAAATGTGCATGTTCTTATTTATGTGATCCTCAAAAAGGCATGGAGCATGCCCTATAATCAGCTCTCACCCAATATTTTTCTGATAACTTCAATAATGTTGTTTATAGCATTATCAGGAGTTACAGTTTACCTTGACTTATTATCTAATACAAAACAAACCATATTCTTTTTACAAATGTCTGATCAGGAAGCAATGACTTTTAGTGATTTTATGTTTATATTATCCACAACTTTCAAAATTCATATTAATCATGTTGCCATTTCAACTTTTGTAAGAGCCCTCTTTTCTTCTTCATCTTTTTTTAATATAGCCTATTATTACAGAAACTGACTCATAAGAAAAGGAAGGAAAATACTGAGGCATTCAAATCTAGGTTTTATACATCTTATCTCACGTGATTTTTAGTGAATTACTTCACCTCTGTGAGCCTCAGTTTCTTGACTTAAAGATAGCGATGATAATAAAATCCTACCTTATAGGATTGTCATGGGGATGAAGTGAGGTACACATAAGTAATGTTCCTGGGACATACTGGGAGCCCTGTTTCTCTAAGTGATGAGTAACACTAAAACACAGCAGCGAGTATTTGGTGCAAACCTACCCATATTCTATAAGGCTGAAGTAATGGGTCTTGTTCCTGATTTTTGTCCAGCTGTTGCCCATCACTCAAACGCTGTCCTTTGTAGCATATAAAGCTGTCTGGCCTGATTTCCTTGCTGTTGACTGAGGGTTCAGAGCACCAGTCCTACAAAGTGCCATTTCATTTACTCTAGATCACTGACATTCTCCTCAAGGGACCTCTACTGATAATTTCATGAATCTTTAAAGCTCCCAATACTATTATAGAATGTAATTTCTCTCATACAATTTAGTAAAACATGAAGCTTTTAAGTGACCCCTTTAGATTTTAATGATTTATAAATGCATTACTGAAATAATTTATAAGGTTAAGTGACTCACCCAACACATCAGTGGTGTAATTCAAATAGGTGCTTCTCCCAAATCCCAAACTGCTCCGAGTCACGGACCTTACAGTGTATTCCATCTGCTACTCCTTGCCTTGCAGCCACGGTGTCGTTCACCTCCCTTTCTACAGTCTGTAAACCTGATGATTCCACATTGACTTTCTCATATCATTAATTTGTATTAAGACTACTCCCAGAATGCAGGCCACTGTTTGCATTTGTTTATGAGAATTCATTTATCAATCTTCTCAGGGTTTTCCTGTTTGGCTTCTAAGTGTTTCCATTAAATCATACTTTGGGTTTTTTTAATTGATAACAGTAAATATTTCAAGGATACTATGTTTTTATTGTTCCTGGTGGGCTAAAAAGTCTTTAGTTATTTTTGTAAACAACCCTTGATTGTTTTTCATAGACTTCACAGTAAAGTAGAATTTCTAAAGTGAAAGAATATTTAGATTTTAAACAAGCTACGTTTTTACAAGTTATACATATTCCTTTTCCATTTTTATAAAATACTGATATATCATGAGATTGTTAGGAGGATTAAAATGAGTAAAATATGTCAACATGTATTACAAGAAAGGTAGTTACTAAGTATTCTCTCCCCAATTCCTCCTAATCCCACAAGCCCCTTTGGTGTTGTCTTGTATGATGAATGGAACATTTTAAAAATAGAGGAAAAGATGAGAGATGCATTTGTAAATGCTCTTGGTCTTTTGCTTTCTTCTGTATCAAACAAATAGTGAACATTTTTCTATTGTCCTCTCTTATGTTTAACATCTTAGTATCATATTTTCTTACCAATCTATTTTGCTTGCTGGCAGTTCTTTTTTTAAACATTTTTGTATTATTCTCTACCGGCACTGCCGTTTCTTTGATCACTATTTAATAATAGGCATGAATTTCACCTTTTGGAAAGCTTACTATTTGTCTGTGGATGCAGATTTATTTCTTCATAATTTTTGGTGATTTTACAATTATTGGGCTAATTGATTAAGGAAGGTATTTTATTACAATTTTCTTCAGATTCATATTATGATAAAGAAGCAATATCTGTCTAATAACATGACAGGAAAGATCTAGACTTTGGTGAAGAGTCTTTTGTCATTAATTAGATGTTAGATATGCTTTTTTTAAAACCAAGATACTGAAAAACGTTCATAATTGATTTATAATTAGCCACAACTTAAATATTTATGAATGTGCAGGCTCCCTCTCCATACTTGAATCCCAGGGCAAGCAGCCCCAACACAGTTCCCCCTGAAAGGCTCGGGGAGTGAGCACTTCCATCTGTAGCTTCAGTTGCCCTATATGTGTATTCATTCCACAACATTTATAGAAAACATAGATGCTCACCTTCCCTTTATTTCTTCTTCTTTAATTGACTTTTATTTGCATTATTATCTTTAGTTCTGTTGATACAGAGATTATTTTTACATGTCAATTTGGGTTTAAAATGCACATTCACATCCTTTGTTGATGTGAGTAGTGAGTAAATTAATGATGTGTGTAGGGCAGAAAAAGTGATTCATGTTCTTCAGTGAGTAAAAATAGATTCTGACTGGTTTCAGTTTTGGCCATGAGCCCAGAGCTGGGACTCCAACCCTGATTTTCTAAGTCCATGTCCTTTATTTCTTCAATTTCACTCTGCTTTTCATCTTTCCATTTTCACTTCAAATTTTCCTAATGTAATGCTCAGATTTCCTTGAGATTTTAGTTGATTTACTAAGCCATCATTTTGTTTTCCTCTTTATGGGAAGTTAACAAGCTTAATTTATAAATGCAAGAAGAGTTGACCATACCATCTGTGTCAGTTTCTAGAGAAACAGAGTCAGTGTGATGTATAGATAAATGATAGATATTAGATGCCAACTATGTGAGCCCCAGACTGAAAGCCATCAGGCTCAAGGTCCAAGAAGAGCTGATGTTTCAGTTCAAGTCCAAAGGCAGGAAAAGACCCGCATAGTAGCTCAAAGCCTTCAGGCAGGAGAAGTCTCAGTCAAAACACCCTCACAGACACACCCAGAGTAATGTTTGGCCAAACAACTGGGCACCTACTGGCCCAATCAAGTTGATGCATAAAATAAATCATTATGTCATCTCTTTTTTTTTCATGTTGTTTGGAAGACATTTTTAATGTTTTTCATTTATGTGGAAAACAAAACAAATTACTAAGGTGATATATATGCATCTCTTAGACTGCATAGCCAATAAATAAGAAAATGACATACCTTCTTAGAGATATACTTTATATTTTTAGGCTTTAATACCTCTTAAGCATTTCCTCAGTGTGGCTGCACAAAGACTCAATCAAAAATTATTTTTGAAGAAAATTTAATTACTTTCTAGGACTAAAATTTTAATCATAAGTATTCAATTAGTATTCAATTAAATGTTAATATTGAAACTTACTCCTCAGATTCTTATGCAAATATTCCCTTCCTTATATATAACCTGAAGATAAAGGAGATTTGTAGCAAACACTTTTATTGCAGCTCACTAGCTCATTCATTGTTGACCTTGAGAAATATTTTGTGCTTTATTACATGAAAAGTGATAATAAGTCTACTCTTACCTGACTGACTGGAAAAAATTTGATTGGCTGACATAGGATGTGGCTACACATACAATTTACAAGAGGAAGTATCCTTATGCAAAACTGGGAGTGACTCAGCATTTTAGGAAAGAAATAAATGGAAACAAGTACAATGGACTTTGATATTTCTCTTTTGTCAGTCTCTAATTCCCAGTAATACAGAAACGTATTTATAATTTCATATGATTTTAAAGTTGAAAGGGTATGTGTCTGGAAGGTATCTATTGGTGAAAAAGTTTTGCCTAGAAGAAAGTTTCCCTGGTCTAACGTTTCTGTGCCCCTCCACTATTCAGCATCACCCGTAGAAGGAAGGAACACAGCTCGCAGACCAGCTGACATGGGTTGTATTTCCAAATCTACCGAACTAATATGGGATGTTGATCAAATCAGTCTCTGTGCTTTTTTTCCTCTCTTCTAAAACAAGAGTGTTAGAAATATAAGCATCTCTATGATATCTTGCAACTCTAAAGGAGGGGAGACATACAGGTATCTGAAAAGACAATATATATATATATATATATATATATATATATATATCNTATATATATATATATATATATATCAATAAAATAAAATATCATGGTCTTTACACTGGTCAGAGATGATGGTATGCAATGCACAAACTATTTAAAATTTTTTCCAAAGATTCCAAGTGAAAAGATAACTTACTAAGCATATCATTTACCTACATAATAGTACATTTATCTAGATGATAGAAGGTTAACGTTGAACTTTTAATAGTTTTAATTAGAACTTCAAATTATCAGCATGTTTGTTACAAAATCAAATTATAAAATTTAAATTTAATTTAACTTTATGAAATCTGTGACTTTTATTGACCACCTCTAATTTCCTTTCTAAATTTGAAAAATACTGAATTCTTTGGCTAATAACATAAGGTCATATCAGGTCCTCTGAAGGAAAAAAAAGGCCACACTAAGCTAAGTGCTCTCTGGTAAAATATTCCTCAAAATCTATTTCTTTTATTTGTGAAAAATGAAGATTATAAGAATTCCATCTAAAAGTCAACAAATTGAAAATAAGGATTGGAAAATATGTGGGATAGAGTTTATGATATGATATGCTATCTTTATAAAAGACAGCGTGGACTAAGAGTAAATATTTTGTGATAAAAATTGAAGGAGTTCATTGGTAAAACATGAAAATATCAACAATTGGCAGACGTTCTCATTTTAGCACGTATCTGAAAGGTCACGGAACTACATTTTTTGTTATTGCAAAGTGTAATATAAGAAATCCTTAAAAATTGAATCTACTTCTAACCACTCAGGTAAATTTTTCCCACTTATTTGATTGACCTGGAAAAAAATTTAGTTGCTATAAGATAATGGCAACTTACACAATTTAAGAGAGGAACTCTACTTATGCAAAAATGGAAGTGAATCAGTACATATAAATATATATATATTTACATTTACAGACAAAATATTTCAGCTTCTTTGAATGTTTCTGACATAACTTAGATAATTTTTATTAGGTTGAACTAGCAAGTACAACTGGAAATTAAAATAAAATGTGCATTTTTGGTAATATTTCTAAACAAAATCTCCTATTAATTTCTTATTTACTATGGTCAATTTAATAGTACCTTTTCCAATATAAATAGCCATGGTAATTTTTCATAATCTACAATCTTATCCCAAACTCCCTTAAAACAGAGTCTGAGGCAAGGGTTAAGTGCTAATGTGTAATTTTGGTAGAGACCATCCCAGGTATGCAAGAGTGAGAGGGAAAGGAAATGAAGAGGGCAGGATGGAGAACAGTGCAAGGACATGTTACCCCACTGGCTACCACTTCACTCCAAGTTGTAGAACCGGGGCGGTCCCTTGGCAAGCAGACCATAGGACATCACCAGACAGGCAGTTGAGGGACAGTGTCACAGAACAGTCCATAGGAGGGAAATAAAGAGAAAGCTTTATTGTTCCATCTACTGTTTCTTATAAGTCAGAGTACATTCTGTGAGGAACTAGTGCTTTTCTTCTTCAGAGCAGCTTTCTTGGACATCCTCCCCTTTGCAGCTTCTCCAGAGCCCCACCCACACCCCACATGCTGGGCTTCTTCCATATCTGGAAGTGATCAGAAATGCCAAAGAGTCAAAGTATGTGGCAAGTTGGCCTTCCAAAGCAGCAGGAACCAAAGGTAGGCTCCCAGACATCTAGGCAAGTGCCTAATTAGCTAAACCAGTAAAATTGAGAATATGGCTTTGGGGAGGAGTAGCGGTAAGTACAGCTGGGGCAGAACAAGTCACTAATAATCTGGAATCTGGGAAACCATATAATGCTTGTAAGAAATCTATAGTAGCTCCTTGAATGATTCACATATTTTATTTATGTCATATGTATTTTTAACAGATGACCAATACTTAATACACATAATTAATACACAGCAGTTTAAAGACCAAATTATCTAGTGATAATTAGAAATATAAATATTCTGAATAATTAGTGCCATGTTTAAGAACACATCCATTTCATTTTGGTCTGATCAGTTCTGCGACTGCTATTATTTTCCCTTTAAAA